GATAGGAGCAGAGCGAATATGAGGGTCACAATTGAGGAGGATCTATTTGCGAAACTTCGGCAGACATGACAAGGTTCAATGTTTGGGGGTGGGGCTGGCGGTTTTCTGATGGCTTTGCAGGGGTCTTTGACAGATATGTTCGATCCGCAACAGCTGACACTGGGCGTGGGGATTCAGCGTATTCCACACTCCCAAAGCCTTGCAATCCCTAAATCCTCCATTTGCTAAATGTTCAGTCGATGGCCCCCGCAGTAATCATGTAACCTGGACCTTAAAGCTTAGGCGTCGCGATATTTCTGTTCTTTCTAGAATGGGACAAGCCTGTGTCGTCAACAGACCTTCATCCCTAAACCCTAAACCCTGCACCTTCCTAAGTTCCATAGGATTGGGTGATCTCGGTTCAGGGGAGATAGGCTCCCGGATGAAGTTTGAGGTTCAGGGTTTCCCGGTAAACCCCTACTGATAAGGGTTTGGGTTTTAGGGTTGTCTTAATGACGAGACCCCCAGAACAAAAAGGGAAAAAAGGGTACCACTGGGGTACCTAGAGGTTCAGGGTTTGGCTTCAGCATCACCATATGAGCCATAGTTCAAACTCCTAGTCTCCCCTTAATAATCCCTGTAGTAGTCCCCTCTAGAATCCCCTATAAATACCGTTTTAAGGAGTTTAGACTGTAGACTATAGCTCGCGTCGAGCTTGTGCGTTTCAACATCTGCTACCGGTGTTCTGAGGAGATCTCCAAGGCCTTTCAGAGAATCAATCGCGGAAAACGCACACACAGAACCAAAACCCAAAATCCTACAGAAGATCAAATAACCCGCTTAAAACATCCTAGACCCTAATTCACAGAAATGGTGAAGGGCTCAGACGGCGGGAATTCGGACTATCGTCCTCCTCCACCAGTAACCTCCAGGTCTCTGCAGTTGATTAACTTTGGGAAGGCTTGGGATTCAGGGTTTTAGGGCTTTCCTTCGTCTGGTTAGAAGGGAATAAGAAAGTGGATCCTTGTGGTAGTCCATGTACCATCTCCAGTACTAGAGTAAACCCGAAACCCTGAATCCTAAACGGTTCCAATTTACTTTCCATTTGTTCATTCCACCCTCCTCCCATCCACCCCCTCATCCCAAATGGGGTGTGCAAGGAATTTCTGTGCACCCTAACAGCCGAGGCGGGTGCGCGATAATGCTTACTTTGATTCTTCATTCTTGGGGTAATAATCCCCATTGAGCCCTGAACCCCAAACATCCCTAAGCCTAAGTCCCCATTCGCCACTATATCCCCACATAATCCCCATCTAATTCCTATAACATACCTATATAACCCTACACATAACCGCTATATAACCCTATACCCCACATAGTCCATATATACATATATCCCTACATATCCTTTATTTTTCATTCCCTGCTAACCAGAAGTAGGTCCTTGTCTGGGTTTTAGCATTCGAGGCTGGAGGGTCAACTTTGTTGAAGACTCCTTGCTGCCTTTGGGAAATACATTCCTGGATTTTCGCTGGGTCACATAGAATTGTTTCACCCCCCCACAGCCTTCAACTCTAAACCCTTGAAACCCTAAGCCGTTTGGACCCTAACCACTAAACTCTTAAGACCCTGCCCATTAAACCCAAAACCCATTAAACCCTGAAACCTTAAACCCTCTAAACCCTTTAAACCCAAAATCCACTAAACCTTCAACCCTTTAGACCCTCTGCCCACTAAACCCCAAACCCGGGCCCCTAGAGAAATCGTTTCAGGCTGGGGGCCGCTGGGTCCAGATCCACCTTAAACTGGGTGGCTGTTGAGGAACTTAAATTAAGTTACTATATTGGGGAAACCCTATTGTTTACTATATATACCCATTATGGTAACTTAACTTAAGTTCCTTAACAGCAACCCAGTAAACGTCTTGCCCAGGGTTCTGGGTTTAGGTTTAGGGTTTAGAGATTTTCGACCCTCAAGCCTTGAAGTGCTGTGACTAATTTGCCCAGGTTTTTCCCTGGCTTTCGCATGTCATATGCGCAGTTCAAGAACCTGCCTGGACCTCTGATTTGAGACCCTGAAGTAGCGTAGGACTATCGCAGTTTGTGCATTGAAGATAGAACTTCTCGAACAAATTTGCACTTCGTCCAGTATATTGCTTGCTATATGTCGTCCACAAAAACGTGTCTCAAAACAAAGGATAAGGTCGGAAGCTACGTACTTCATGCTTGTGCGACGTAGCTCTGCAAGGCTTCACAGTATTCTGTCGTTGGCCATGGCGAGTAGAACCCTGTAAACATGAACCCTCCGGGCGCCCCTGGTTGAACTTCCAGCGAAGTCAGTAAGAAGCCCAACCAAGGCACAAGCTAAACCCTAAATCCTAAATAGTAGTTTCCATTTTCTCTTCCATTATCGCTATATATTTCCCTATATAAACCCCATATTACTATCTTACCCCCGATCAGAAGTCTCAAGCCTGAACTTGATCAAGCCTCACAAGCCCGATATCCTTAGCCCTGAACCCTAAAGCCCTGAGCCTTGCCTTAACCGGTTTAGGGTTTAGGGTTTAGGGTTGAATCTTCAATCCTAGGTTTTGGATCCCACCCTCCCTGAACACTCGGGGCCGAAAACATTAGCACTAGAATACATAGTAGTTTCCATTTTTTTCACCCCCATATAACCCCTCTGTAAACCCCTATATAAACCGAAATGTAACCCCTATATAACCCCTAACAACCCTCTATAATCCCTATAGTAATTTCCATTTTCTTTTCCATTATCCCTATATAGCCCCTACATACCCCCCCAAAAAACCCCATGTAATACCCTGCACTCTGGGCATGCTGGCGCGTCATCGGGGCCCTCAGATGCTTGGTTGGACGCAGCCTTCACCCAGCTTGCTGGGAAATATAAGGGCCATGCTAGGGAACTTGAGCGGATTTCTGCTACGAAGTTAGGGGAAAGGAGGAGATCTACACAAGATGATTGGGTTTAGGGTTTAGGGTTTGGAGCTTAGGGTTTAAGGTTTCCCATGTGTAGGTCCAAACTCTACCTACTCAGTTTAAGTTTGCAGCAAGGCGCCCCAAACAAGAAAATGCTCAAAGGTAAACCTGCCATACAGCCTATGCCCTGGACAACCTCCATGTATATATAACTCTAATATTACCCCAATATTTCCCTCATATTGCCCCAGTATAACGCTAATATAATAGAATTCTTACGCCCATTCTTGCATTGATTGATTCACTTCAAGTTCCAGGGGTTGGGGCCAGGGCTTGGGTTTTCTGGTCAAAGAGGTTTCGCGTCACAGATTTAGGGTTGGCTGGGTGTTTCAAGGTGCGCTGAGGTTGGGTCTTCCTTGCATCGCCAAAGTCACTCCGACAGCCTACATGCCCTACTATAGCCATTCTAAAGAGTTATAGTAGAATCATATGAGCAATTCTTCGGACTTCAGATCAGGGCTGTAAGAGAACTATAGGGATACGTATTCCAACTTTTGTTGTAAAAGTTGTTCAGCAGCTTTGGCTAAGCCTATCCCTGAACACCGAACTTTAAGCTGGGCAATGACGTGGCAGTTGCAGGAAATGGCGGCTCCCTTTTTCGGGCATCCTGATGCTAAGGACTATAGTGGATGTAGTGCTATATGAGCCATAGTCTAAACTCGCCCCTTAGTATCCCCTATAGTAGTCCCGTATACAATCCCCTATATAACCCCCCTTTAAGGAGCTGAGGAATATAGCTCATATGTGGGGGCAGTTGCTTGCAACCTGCCATGTGGGTTGCTATTTTAGAGGGCAACTTCATGCTTCCGAGCGTTGACACGTACCAACATACTGCTGAATCACTTCAGTTCTTGAACAACAAAATAGACCCTAAACCCTAAACACTGAATCCTAGGCCCTGAGCCCTAAACCCGCACAAAATAGTCAGATACGACAAGTCCGGCCGGCACAAGCAAGCTTCAATAGCGTCAGGGCTTATCACGTTGTACCAGCCCTTGAACTGAAAGAACGAGACACTGTTATGTGTAGTCCATACGGGGTCTCAAAGAACTTCACTGTGACTCATGAGGATGATCGTAAAATCAAATGTCCTTGCTTTTGGGGGTTTGGGCGTACAAACTAAACTTTCTCTCTTTCTTTCTTTCTTTCTCTCTCTCCCTCTCTCTATATATATATATAATGTTCGACAATGGCCAAGCTCAAGACACCCAACCTCAAGTGCCCAACCTGAGTAGGAGTCCCAAGCCACACCCACATGGTTCAGGGTTTAAGGTTCAGGGTTTAGGCCTGGTCAGGGGTTAGGGTTTAGGGATTTGTGGCTATAACCTACTAGAATTGGATTTGGATTTAAAGAGAACGATGATGGTTATCCTTCCGGCTTCTACACTGTACACCCTATAACCCCCTATGCAGTCCCAGTTTCTATCCCATGTTCCATGTTCTTTTACATGTTCCTTTCCCATGTGATTCTCCGCTGTTCTAAGCCTAGACCTTAAAGCTGAGATATCCCCGTCGCCACTTTTAAGGGACCTAAGCTAAACCCTGTATACCCATATATGCTTTACATGCATTCTGCCGTCTGAGCTCTGCTTAAAGCCCAAGACCTTGCATGGCCTTCTCTCCAAATTGATGGGCATCTGAGAATGTGCTCCAAATCTGGGGTTGCCATGTAAAAGAGCCACAATAGGATCCTTCTGAATGCTTGATTAGAATATGCCTTGAGAAGCGAATCTGGAGGTTTTCTGAAAATCCTTTGCCAACATCGTTGCTGCGTAGCCCTGGCCGCTCGCAGTCTTTTGGCGTAGCCATCTGCGCGATACTTGTCGGAAGTCTTGGCAAATCCAGTGCCGTAGCTCTGGCCGTTAAAGTCCCAGACCTAATCCTACATACTGAAATCTCACCATATTGCCCAAGCTGAAAGCCCACATTGCGAACATCTTAGCCGCTGAGTCCCTACGACCCGCAAGCTGGAATACATACCGCGTCCCTGTGCTCCTAAAACACTCAAATCGAAACCATTCGTCAGATCTGGCGCCGCAGCCAGAAATCTCCAGCCTTACTTGTCCACTCTCCTCTACCATCTGGGGCTCAAGGCTTAAGGGCTTAGGGCTCAGGGATGGCAGTACTCCAGCCTCAGTACCCACCTACCCATACCTAACCTCCAAACGCAGCAGTACTCTAAGAATAAATCAAAGCCTTACTCAGTGACTTCTGAGCCACAGCAAGCTGCATCGCTTCGCGCGGTGCAGTGCGCGGGGCCTCAGTTGAACTAGGATCGTTTGAGACAAGCCCAGCGCGCAGCAACGCCTTAAATGAGGGCTCCGGGAGCGGAAGACAAAATTTGTTTGCAAGTCTTTTTATGTGAGAAGCTGCCTCTCCGAAATTTCATATGACATGCCTGAGCCTTTAGCCATGTCAAATGAAAACGGGCATGAAACATGAGATGACGACAACCCCGTTGCCTGTCTCTTTGGAGCCTACAGCTAAAGGCACAATGAGGCCGCATTACGATTACTTCCGGCTGCATGTTTGTATTTGGGCAACAAATGGCTAGTCTACAGCTAATACAGCTAAGGGACGTCCTCCGGTGGTGCTTGTGCATCCGGTGTTCGGAGAGTGCCGAGCGTGATAGCGTGGCACATAGTGCCACCAATGCCTGCTGGGTAGGAGAATGTGTTTCTCACGCTAGCACAAGCCGTGTTCAAGCCAGCTGAAGCGGAGACGAGGGCTCACGGGTTTCTGAAAGCGACATTGGACTCCAATTGAGGCTCTACCTCATGAGGATAATACAAAGGATAGCTATAGGGATTATTCAAGACTCAGTTGCCAACTTCCACATCGAGGTCAACCCCAACTCCCATTCCACATCCCTCCCCATGCTCTGCTTTGTCTATCTACCCGGGCGGCACTTCCATACATGCGGGCTGTATCATACTACAGCGACATGCCGGTCATAAACCACAACTCTTACAAAGGGTTCGCGCCTCTATAGTAGGCCTCACCTCGTCAAAAGTCCAAATGCTGACGGCTCCACAGCCTGCCCCCTTCGCCCTCCCCTCAATGAACATTGCCAATGCTCACCCCTAAACCTATATGGGAGTATCTTTAATGGTCTCTGTAACCTCCGTTGTAAGGAGAATGATATTCAAGGCCTTTTCAACAACAGTCGTCTATCAGGGTGTTGAGGCTGAATTCCGAACCTCGACCCCAATACCCAGAAGAGAGTTTGGTGGGGTACCCATGTAAAAAGTATACGTGGTAGTTTCCCTAAATAGGGCCCCAATATAGACTCCCCAAAATACTATAATCCTTGCTATGGGGACCCCCCCAAAGGTACCCCTAATTTAGAGGAAACCCCATATGTTCTCAAGGAACTTTTTAACAACAGTCGCCTATGAGGGTGTTTGGGCTGAATTCCAAACCTCGACCCCAACAACCAGAACAGGCTTTCGTAAGGTACCCCATGTAAGAAGTTTCCCTAAATGGGGCCCCGACATAGACCCTCAAATACTATAATCCTTGTTATCGGAAGCCTGCAAAAATTGTACCCATAATTGTTGAAAACCCTAATTTGAGTTCTCAGGGAATAATCTTGCTCATTCAGTCTTCTGCATCCAAGCCAAGATCACTCCAAATCCTGAACCCCCAACCCCCAACCCTAAACCCTTTTGAACCCTAGTCGCGCCTTTACCGGTAATCCCCGTGTAGGAGCTAAGCCCTTCAATCCGGATTTCTTCACCTGCGTGCAGCTTGGGCTTTGGCTGGCAGAGTCAACATGGAAGTTTCCAAGAAATGGGATCCCCCTCTATACCCCTTTGGTACTATAAACCTTACGATGGTAAACCCCAAGCCTACCCTAAACCTTAAACCCTGGTTGAAGGCTGCTTTGCACCCTCAACTCCCCAAACCCTAAACCCTGAACCCTAAATCCCTGCACCCAGGACGAATGGCCAAGCTTGTTCATGGAATGCGTGCTCAAGACTGCAGCTCTCACAGAGCCCTGGGGTGTAGGGTTTAAAGCGTCTAGAACCAAATGCTGAGGAGGCATGTAGGATGTAGAGGAGGCAAGCAAAGCTTTCTGCTTCTTGGTCTGCAAACAAATGAAAAGATGTCTAATCCCCTCCGCCTAACAGTACCCCCCTCGACCCCCGTCAAAATTCAATGCCTCCCCATAAAAGTACCACGATATTTTGAGGCGGCGGTGATGAGTTCCCGACTCCAATTCGCTCTTTGACCTACTGGTGGTTAGTAGGGAATGAGGGTATACAATCCCTGTTTAATCCCAATATAGTGTATTCCCTTATTCCCTACCCTAAACCCTAAACCCTAAACCCCATACATACGTATGTGTATATATATATATACATGAGTGTATGTATATACATATATATATATATATATGTATAGCTATTCTCCCTCATTCCCTACTAAATCCCGGTAACTTGAGGTATTGACATCTTCAGCTCGGCCCCTCAAGAAAGTGACGATCCATCCCTCTTTCCGCGGAGATTTCTTAACCCCTTTACCTTAAGCCCTAAGCCCTAAACCCTAAAACCCTGAACCCTAAACCCCTAAACACCTAAACCCTAAAATTTCATCCACTAAGGGATTGTGACGCATGAAAGAACGTCATGGAATCCTTGCTCCCTGGGCTCCAGCAAGGGTCCATGATATGAGCCATAGTCTAAACAGGGTTTAAGGTTTAGGGTTGGGTTTAGGGTTTGGGGTTCCTAGTATCCCCCGTAATAACCCCATGTACTACTCCCCTATATACAATCCCCTATATCACCCCCTTTAAGGAGTTTAGACTATAGCTCACATTGAGATTTCAGTGTTTAGGGTCCAGGTTTGGTGTTGAATGCCCGAGTCACTAGAGAACAGCGCTGCGTCGTCGTTGTCAGGAAACTCAATCTCAGGATTCCTGGGTTGCTGTTAAGGAACTTAAATTAAGTTACTTATTGGGGAAACCCTATTATTTACTATATATACCCATTATGGTCAACCCTAAACCCTAAATCCCCTAAACCCTAAACCCATTATGGTAACTTAATTTAAGTTCCTTAACAGCAACCCAGATTCAGCTGGTGCAAGTGCAGGAGCGGCGTGATGGCTCCGTACTTCTGGCCCACCAGAACCTCCCAGGGAACTTTCATGATTTGGGGGTTTAGGGTTTAGGGTACCATTTTGGGGATCCACCTAATAAGGGTTATAGCCTTTTGAGGTCTATATTGGGGTTCCCTTGCTTAGGGAAACTACCATTTATTCTCCACATGAGGGTTTTCATAAACTGGGGCGGTCGCTTTTTTGGGAGTTCCAATAACAAAGATGATATTTTGGGGATGTATCTTATGGGGACACTGTTTTTTGCAAAATGCCACACAAGTACGTCCGCTCATCCTGCTTTCGTGAAGTTTGTCCAGGATGCCCTACAGAGGAAGAGGAAATCGAAACCACACAACAGTTTGTTGGGCATTTTGCAGGGCCGTCTGTAATGATCCATGTCTGTTCCCTACTCAGCAGGCCTAAGCCAGAAAGCCTATAGTAGGTGCCACATTCTTTTCCTTTCCTCAACTCCCCGATAAGAACCCGTGCTTGGTAAGGAAACGTGGCAAAGCATCTGTGAGGTGCTGTCCGTTCAGGCATTGCATTAGACTGCTTACCCGTGCTTGAGGGAATTCCGTGTGTAGTAATGACAAAAGACACGGAGACCGCTATATCATCTAGGATTTAGGGCTTAAGCTGCGAACTGGGGTCGTCGTGCTATGATAACACGACCGACACATTTGGTAGTTTCCTGAAATAGGGGGAACCTAATATAGACTCAAAAATATACTATAATGCTTATTATGGGAGTCCCAAACAAGCTACCTTTAATTTTGGAAATATATATATATATACATATATATGTAGTGTGTATAGACATGAAGCTGTCAGCCTGCCATTGGAGCTGTACCAGCTCCGTCGTAACAAATGGACCCAGAACCAAACATCTCCATAGAACCCCTGTATCTCCCTGTAGACCCCATACAACGCCTACATTCCCAATATCTCCTCGACACAAATCTCCTGGACACAAAATCCCTAAACCTTAAAACCTAAACCCCCTCATTTCTGTCCCAGAACTAACATTTCACAAGCTTGCTCGTCAACCAAAGCCTTGAGAATCTGCGCCATGCCGGCGCACTCAAGTCCCATGCCACTGGCCGTGAACCCAGTGCCCAAACACAAAGGCGCCTCCACCTCTAGGCTAGGGCTAGGGTAGCGTAGGATAGGGTTTAGGGTTTAGGGTTTAGGGGTTTAGGGGTTTAGGGTTTAGGGTTTAGGGGTTTAGGGTTTAGGGTTTTAGGGCTACTTGGGGGGTAAGGGGGACTTAGTAAGTAGGTTAATAATGGAAAAGAAAATGGAAACTACTATGTTATCTAGGGATTAGGGTTTAGGGTTGGGGGATCAGGGGGACTTAGTAAGTAGGTTAATA